GAACCAATGACCCCAAAAAAGCCTATAAATAGTTCAAGGTCTGTTTGTGGACCTTCAGGAGTGTTTTCCAGTCAAGTCTGATGGGGTTCCACACCCTGGCCCCAAAGTCTATTTTTGGCATTCCCTGAGGACTTCATTGCTCTGGTCCCCTTGCTGTTCTATTGCATGCCCTTAGTTTTGCCTGGGTGTAGTGGGGTCAGATTGGGCATAATTCCCGCACTGTGTCTCCAGTGTTGTCTCCTGGGTCAGTGAGGGATGTTTTGTCTCATGGTGGGGCCAGCCCTATTGTCCTCTCTGTGCATTGGCTGCTCTGAGCAGGAACATCATCCTCAGTGCTCGGTGGGCCAGGATGTGCTCCACTTTCTCTTCCTCCTCCTTCATTTGCTCTGATCAGACATGTCCCTCACCCTGAGCCGTAGCTTCAGCACTGTCCTCTGAAGTGAATTTTTCTGGGGGGAGGAGCGACTGTCCATGTAGTTGGGATTGGGGCCGGCCCCTCACCTATGTAGGGTTATTGATGTTAATGTCTCATTACTGTATTACCAAATTGTCTTTCTGTGGAAGTGGCTTCATTGATTCTTTCCTGATAAACCTTTGTGTGTCCATGTGTCCATATGTGATAGGGACAGGAGAGTGGGTGGACATAAAAGCTGAGGGCAAAAGCCCAACCAAACTTCTATAGATGACCTTAAAGGGGAGTTCCCATAGCATGTGGGAACAGGGATTGTAGCACTTAATACATTACTTCCTGCTTATTGATGCCTATGGCTTAGCAACTAAATTCATTAAACGTCTGTGCTTCACCCAGAAAACGCTTATGGAGAAACGCTTTTGGAGCAGGCACTGGGACCCCAAACGAATCAGATCTCTTCAAAGAACTTCACAACCTGGTCCAGTGGGAAAAGTGGTTGAGAATATCAATACTATGGGATAATGCTACCATGTTGTGCTACCCATGGGAGGTCACCAAGTCAGACTGCAGGGGTCTAGGACAGTCATGGAAATTAGAGTTCTTTGTGACAAGAAGGGATAAGGAGCTTAAGGCAATGACATTTCACCCAGAAGCCAGACGCCTAGAGAGAATCACCCCTCTGACCCCCCAGGGAGTGTGGAGAAGGGGTAGGAGCAGAGAGAAGAGAAAAATGGATACAGCTTTGGGGGAGGTTTCCTTGAAACTCAGCCATAAGGGAGTGCACAGATAGGGTCAGGGACACTGTGACCCTCAGAAACAGGCTTCAGTTGGCCACCTCTATAGGAACTGCCTTCTAGCTGATGAATGGTTTGACCAGTGGATTGCTGCACTTCTTTATTAGCTCGCTCATCCTCCCAAAAGTCTTGAATGCCTGCCAAGTGGCACCTCTGTTTACCTCACAACTCTCTTTCGCCAATAGGATGTCTTTGTGGACATTTTTGGCTCTTTCTATCATCTTTTGAAAGAGTAGGGCAAAGCACAACTGGGGAAATGGAAGAATTAAGTTAATAAGCGTGGGAAGAAAGGAGGCCTGGTCGTGAG